AATCAAACAGTAATTTCTCAGAACAAAACCTTTTTGAATCATTTAAATTATACAACAAACGTAAGACAGAGTGAGAAAAAATATATATATACACGTAATGAAACGAAACAATGTCTGTGGACAGTGTTAGATGTTTACATTTACAAGCAAAGACTAAACAAGACCGAATCAATGTTCCCGTTATCAGCATTAAGAGCATTGCTGTCTCTCTGTATGTATAGACTCTCGTACGCGTCAAGTTTTCTGTCATCATTCACACACTTAAGCAAACGAACATTTTCTGTCGTAGTATTGTAGTGCTCCTCGCTGATTACGTGATTAGCATACGCTGACTTTCTCGGTTCATTATTGCGAATGTATGTGTCGTGGTTTTTACATCTTATACGAACAGAGCGCTTTGTTTGGCCGTAGTACTTTTTATGACAAATGTCACATTCTATTTCATAAATTCCCGGTCGATCCAGCGGTTCCCTTTTATCTTTCGTCGATATCAATTTATTTTTTAATTTTGATGATGTCGAATAAACTAGTTGCATGTCGAATTTGTTGAACACTGACTTCAAATTATTAGTGATCTCCGGTGCAAATGTCATTGAGACTTTTTTCAATTGTGTTTTGTTTGACATCGATGAATTTTGAGTGTAAAGGGTTGTAAACTCTGATCTTCTTTTCTTTTTTGAGTGGTTGTTTATGATTCTATCCATGAGAGCACTGCTATAGCCGTTTATATTAGCCGCTTCCAAGATGTAATTATACTCTTGTACATAGTTCTGCATGGTTAATGGCAAATTAATCAAACGATGTGCCAAAGAGTTAAAGGCGGCTAATTTGTGTTGGATTGGCGTAAAAGAGTCACTTGGAATATATCTAAAAGTGCTTGTTTCTTTGTGATAAACTCCAATTTCGATTTCGTTGTACCATCAAATCAAGAAAAACGATAGAATTATCAGTTTCGACTTCCAATGTAAAGTTCACACCTTCATATAAATTATTTAGAATTTCCAATAAAGTGTTAACGTTGTCTCTTTTTACAATAGCGAAAATATCATCGACGTATCTTTTCCAAAATCTTGGGATAAAATCCTTCTCTTTTAATTCCATTTCCAGTTTCGACATAAATGCTTCAGCGATTAATGGTGACAGCGGGTTGCCCATGCTGGTTCCCGATTCAATTTTGAAATATCGTTTCCTATACTCAAAGTAGTTCATTTTCATGCACAATTTCGCAGTTTCCATATAAATGTTCAAATGATCCGATTGTACATTATGTTTTCGTAAGTGGTTTTCAAGTGAAACGAGCGCATGGTCCAAAGGGATGGAAGGGAATAATGCCGACACATCAAACGATACCATCACTTCATCTTCCTGAATTTGTACATTTTTGAGTTCATTTGCAAATTCGATGGAGTTTTTTACTGAGAATGTCTCAAAAGGTGGCAACATAGACATCTCAGCAACCAACCATTTCGCAATTTTTGTTATCGGTGAATTAGTGCATGACACTATTTCGCGCATTTTAT